CAGCGGCCTGGTTGAGGAACGAACACATTGCGGTGCAATGGTCGCCGACCAGCGACCAGCGGCCAAATTGAAGAAGCTGGTCAATGAGCGCTGCCGACTCTTTCTTCATGAACAGTCTGCCAACTCTATCCGCCATGATGTTCGATGGCTGGACAAGAACCTGGAGGTCCAGGTGGCACATTCCATTTCGCTCACCCGCTCTCTCCGGGGCCGTCGCATCTCCCATACGCAGAAACGCAGTGCCATCGTCACGCAGCAAACGCGATCCTGGTGCTTGTGGGTTTGTCCCGGAATGTTCAACATCTACGAGATTAGCCAAGCCCTTGTGCTTCTCCTCCTCGTTCGCCCGAAACTTCACTCGATCCTGACACTGGAGATGTTGATGAAGACTGATCTCATGGAGCTCAAGGTGCGAGGATATAACGTGGAGCGCATCCTCAAGCAAAAGGCCCAGGAAGCCCGAGTGGCCGAAGATCGTCGGCAGATGCAATTAGAGGAGGAGCGACAACGCCTTCAGGAGAGAGAGGCTGCATGGGCACAGGAACGTCGGTCTAAGCCGCAGAGCGAGGAAAGGCAGCGGTCTTTAATGCCGGGCGACTTCCCAGACTCTCCGTCCAGCAAAGAAGGGAGTGCCGGCCCCGGCGCACTATCGGACAACAGCTCGGAATCCAGCCAGCAAGACCGGCGTCCCCGCGGCCTGTTTGCGAATTGGAGTAAACGCCTCGGGCTGGAGGGCGGGCGGTCGAACTGGAATCCCCTCAACAGCGAGCCATCCCAGCCTACGCCTCCGGATTCCTCGAAATCGCCCACGCCTCCTCCGCCGCCCCCATACTCACCGGAAGACCCGCAGAAGTCGTCGCGCCCCGAGGCACCGGTCACTGTTAGCTCTCCGCACCGTCTACAGAACGAGCTGCTGTCGGCGGTTCAAGCCTGTCGGCCGCACGGATCGTCGGGGCTCTACAGTCGGCCGGAGACGAACCAGATCACCGAATCCAAGTCCTATTGTGACGAGCAGCCGAGTCATGATCTGGAGTTTGTGGCGTCTCTTCCCTGTGGAATGAATGTGTTTTTCGTCAAGACTCTGCCTGACCGGTCCAACTTTTTGGCCCAGAATAGCAGCGGCATCAACATGTTTGCCTCGGTCTTGATCGATTGCGCAGGCGTCTTCTCCCTGCGCACGAACATTCTCAGTGTCTTCTACGATCCCGGTGGAAAGACTATAGCTTTCAACCGAGGTGGCAGCATCTTCTGCAATTACTTCTACTTCGAACAATTGCACGAGAAAGAGCTGCTCCAGAGCTCGACTGCCGACCGAAGCGACGCCCTGGTGTATTGGTGGGTGATTCTCTGTCATGAGTTGGCCCACAACTTGATTGGCGACCACAGCTCTGCTCACAGTTACTACACGTACGTTGAACCTGTTGCTTTGATGCATTAACTCATCTTGCTAACCTCCCATCTGTAGTGAAGGATTCGTTGCGCAGTACTTCCCCAAGATCGCCACCAAGTTGGCCGCTCCAGCCCCCAGCAGTTAGGATCTAAGCATTTGGTTGCATTTGTTGGCACAGATATGATAACTATTAGAAGTTAATGGCGTTGATGAGCGACCCTCCTTGTACATGTACAGATAAATGAATTGGATCTATTCCGTTGCAGCCAAGCGTTACTCTTCTCTTCCGTCGATTGCCGTTCCGAAGCCGCAGCAAAATTCCTTCTCCCTCGTCAACCCCGCGGAAGGCTTTTCTTTTCTCTCTCTCTCCTCTCCCTCCTCGCTTCTACTTAATTCCTGATTTAATTTAATTTCCCTCCCTTCTTAACTGTTCCACCCCTGTCGTTGACTTAACCATGCAGGGTCCACGGAGATAAAAGGAAAATCTTTGCGCCAACTTTTCTTGGTGGAACCGTTGCCACCTCCACACGCCTCTTGGGTTGGTCCAGATTTCTTTCGTCCATGGTCTGCCTGTCCTGTCGCCTCTCGGCCCTGAAGATTAAGAAGGTTATTATTTATCTTTGTATGATTTCGGATCAAGAAAAAAAAAATTTCTCTTTTTTCTTTTCTGTCCCTTTCAGTCGGGATTTCAGAGGATCTATATAAACTTGCACTTCGTCTCAGTCCCTTAGGTCTAGGCGCAAGCTTACTTCCCCTAACAACTCCTGCAGCATGGCTCCTTTACTAGGGCATGTCGAATCCTCACCGTCGATCGGGATTGGTTCTCGCAAAAATGTTCTCTACGTTGATGCCTATGATTCATTTTCTTACAATGTCGTGGCCATGCTCGAAGAAGTGCTGGGAGTGAAGGTGACAGTCAAGATGATCGACTCGCAATGGCCCGAAGGGAACATGATCGAATATCTCCAACACTTTGAAGCGGTGGTCCTAGGCCCGGGACCCGGCGACCCCAAGGTCCCAGAAGACATCGGCATTATGCGCGATATCTGGAATCTCCGCGATGGTGATATCCTGCCCGTTCTGGGAATCTGCCTTGGGTTTCAAAGCCTCTGCCTTCAACATGGACTGTCTGTCGGCCGGTTACCGTACCCACTCCATGGCCAGGTCCGTCGGATTGCCTCGGCGCAGAAAGACATCTTCGTGGACTATCAGCATGTGGAGGTCACTCTGTACCACTCCCTATATGCTAAATGGGACGGCTCGGCCTCGAGTGGCGGCGCCAATGGAGAGAAACCTAGCCCCGCCGACCTTGATTTCTTAGCGTGGCTCTTGGTTGGGGGAGAGGGGTCTGGTACAAGAACGCAAATCCCGATGGCAGCGCGCCACAAAAGCAAGCCGTTTTGGGGAGTGCAGTTCCATCCGGAATCTTGCAAGTCGGATCGCCAAGTTTGCAACAGGATTCTGAGGAGATGGTGGGAAATGTCTCTTATCTACAACAAACAGAACGGACGCGGAGGCTACAGGACCCTTTCGAGCAACCTGGTTCAGCCGTCGAGCGATATGCCTTCCCTTCCGGAGATTGCCTCGACGATGCTGGACTGGAGTGCGTCCACCTCGGACCACGCTGCCTTTCGTGCCCTCCCGGCTGGCAAACTGGATGCAGAGATGATTTGCGAAAGATTAAATACCCCCACCGCGCCAACGGTGTTGTTTCAGTCCAACGATAGATTTAGTGTCATTTCGGTACCGAGCCCGTCTAGTTGGAGGCTAGAATTCTACACCCAGACGGAGAACCTGGTGTTAGAAAAACTCCTGGACCCCTCTAGCTCCCGTCATGGCTCAGAACAGGAAGGAATGGTCGTGGAAGAGAAACTACCCGTCACCCAGCTCTGGGATATCCTCAGGTATTTGATGGAGATGAAAAAGGTCCGCTCGGGTGACCGAACGATTCCATTTTGGGGAGGTTTCTTGGGTTACTTTTCATACGAACTGGGCCTCGCTTGTCTCGCTCGACCAAAGAATCACGATCTGGAAAAAGATCCCGCACAAGATCTCCCAGGGGAAGACCCTGCGGACGTCAGCCTGCTATGGACGGAGAGGAGTATTGTTGTCGATAAGGATACGGGTCGTGTCACGATACAATCAATTCGAAAAAATGACGACGTACCCACAGGCTGGCTCGATGAAACCCTGCAGTTACTGAAGGACACTTCCTCGGTGGATGCCCCTGAGACATCCGACGACTCGGAGTTCCTGGATTCCATTCTCCGGCAAGCAGAGATTCAATTCCCCAGCCAGCACACCTACCAAGACAAGGTCGATGCTTGTAAGGTCGAGTTGGAGGCGGGCGAGTCATACGAACTTTGTTTGAGCTGCGAAACCTCGGTCAAGCTGCCTGCACCCTCCACCAAGAGTGGTCGGGCAGTCTTTCCGTGGAAACTATATAAGCGACTACGGAGGTACAATCCCGCCGCATTCAGCGCCTATGTGAGGCTGGGTAGAGCCAGGATCGTCAGCAGCAGTCCCGAGTGTTTCCTCAATTGGGACCGAACGTCCACCCTCGAGATGAAACCCATGAAAGGCACTGTCCGCAAGTCCGAAGAGATGACATTGCAAAAGGCCAAGGAGATTCTCGGATCGACCAAGGAAATGGCGGAAAACTTGATGATTGCAGACCTGATACGCCATGACCTTTACGGGATCTGTGGTTCCGGTGGTGTTCATGTGGAAAAACTTCTCGAGGTGGAAGACCACGGACGAGTCTATCAAATGATTACCCACGTGAAAGGAACCGTTGACCCGAACCGGCCGGGCTTCGCGGTGCGCGACAGGCCACAGTTCCAGTCTGCGAACATGTCTGCCCACGGGCTTACCACCTTACAGCGATGTCTTCCTCCCGGCTCCATGACAGGAGCCCCCAAGGAACGATCGTGCATGCACCTCTCTGCGATCGAAACCCGCAAGCGAGGCGTCTACTCCGGGGTCATGGGCTTTCTCGACCTCGGCGGCGGCGGCAGCTTCTCGGTTCTCATCCGCACTGCGTTCACCTGTGCTGATGAGCAGAGCGATGAGCAGCGGTGGCGGATTGGCGCCGGCGGCGCTGTCACTGTCCTTAGTACCGCACAGGGCGAATGGGATGAAATGCTGACCAAACTTCGGACAGTCTCTGGTATTTTCGCGCCCTTGAATCCTTAAGGGGATGTTCGTATACTTTCTTTCTTTTGATGTGCTCAGGTGTTTTCACCGCAACGCTTTTCAACAGTTGCATAGACACGGTCTTTGGGATCAAGCATAGATGGCATACAGTCGGATTCAACATATTAGCGAAGGGTGGTTTTCAGCGGGCGTTTATTAGAATTATATTAATGAATTATTGAATTATATTTATACATCTCTCCTATCTTATCTTGTGGTGAACAGAGTGTAGACTGGGGTGCAGTGCAAACCAGGCAAACATCTCCAAGCTCCGCGGAGAGGGCGCTTTGCTTTGTCTTCTTTGCCCGCTGCTCCTGTTCCCCCCCCCTGCTCCAAACCCACCTCACTTCGCAATTCCAACGTGACACAGCCTCTGGAAATCCTCTAGATAATAACCTGGGTTCCGACTGTTCCTATGGCGGGCAATCAGGATGCCTCAATGGAGGAGATCCTCTGGCGATCGCCGCCTCATGTCCAGATGATGGGAGGCTATCTTCACTCGAACAACAGTAAGGACCACCCTTCTCCTTTGCCTTGTATTCGTTGCACTGATGCTGGGAAATCTCCCTCTCTTCTCCAACAGTTCTCTTCTACTTTGCCGAATCGCCGTTCTTCGATGCCACCTCGAATAATGCTTCCCTGGCCATCCAGGCGAACTACAACGAAGCCCTACGCCATTTTGTGGAAACCCGGGAGGCTTTTGAATCGCGATTGAAAACCATGCAGGGCCTGGAATTCGTCGTCGCCTATGATCCGTTACAAGCAGCAGCACAGTCAGGCACGCAATTCGCCCACGAGCCGTCCAACGTCTGGGTGATCCGGAAACAAACGAGGCGAAAGCGGACCGGCTTGGAGGACGAAGTTGTCATCCTTTCGACCTACTTTGTGATGGGCGACTGTATCTACATGGCTCCGTCGGTAGCCAGCGTTGTGGGGAATCGCATTGTACGTGCTACACCCCCAAGGCCGCGACTGGACTTTGACTAACTCATGACTAGCTATCTTCCGTCACCTCACTCACGAGTCTCCTCAAGACTGCATCCACACTGCCGACGTTCACCCCGTCTCACGGTCACACCTATCTGCCGCCCGCACCCAAGTCGACCGACCCCAGTCAGCCCGGGGCCTCGTCTCAACAAAGCAAGGAGAACACGCCTCTACCCGAGGTCGAATCTACTAGGAACCCGCTCGGGGGCGCCCACACCAGCAGCGCCGGGTTGGCGCTCCAAGACACAAAAACCCTGGCAGAGTCGTTCGCTCTTCTCTCCCGATTTGGAGACGAATATATGGATGAGAACCCCTTGGTAGGAGAACCCGGGTCGTTCATCCTGTCCAAATCCGGGGACGCCGACCGACTCGCGGCGCCGAAGCCGTCGTCGAACATAAGCCGTCCAAGTAGTGTGCCGGGGAGAGCTGCGACTCCACAGGTCAGGGTCGATACGCCGGGAAAAGCTCCTGATAAGGGCACTCCGGGGACGACTGGCTCGGAGGAGAATAGTAAAATGCGAAAGAGAAAAGTCAGAGCCGGTAGTTGAGTGCCACGCCAGTCAGATACTTAATTGTTAATCGATGATACCCATAGTCCAAAAAAAAGAAAACTGGATTGGAATGCAGTCATCCCGGCCCATCCGAGTAAGATTCCGATAGTCCTGGATCGCGGGGCTCATCACGATGTGCACCTAGCCCTACACGGAGTCTCGCATGAAGAAAGAACTGGTAAAGGGAAGCCCCCAGCGCAGGAGTGTTTGGGCAGCTCGACGATGACTCATTGGACTGGCATGCAGTTGGTATTTGACGCCGGTGGATTCTTTCCCTCCCAGTGGTCATCATTTCTCTATTCCTTTCCCCACCTTCTTCCGACCTTCGAGTATTCAATTGAGACCGGCCATTGCGCAACATCTTCTCTAAATTCAAAGAATAAGAAACAAAATGGCGACCGCTCAAGCAGAAAAGCCCGCCGTGGTTTGTGTGTTGTGAGTTTCTCCGCCTTTCCCCTTCTCCCCTCCTCCCCACCTTCGGTCTTCCTTTCCTCCGCCCCGCGATTGTGTTCGAGGTTCGAACCCAACTAATTTGCAAATCCCTTCTATAGTTGTGGCTCCGTATCCGGCAATGATCCCGTTCACATGGAGACCGCGCGGGCTCTGGCGCACGAGCTCCACCGAAACAACGTACACCTTGTCTACGGCGGCGGCACGCGGGGTCTGATGGGCGAAGTGGCGCGGACGCTGGTATCGCTATCCGGCCCGCAAGCGGTGCATGGCATCATTCCGCGAGCACTGGTGCGGATCGAGGAAGGATACGGGCAGACGAAAAGTGACGAGGCGACGACGGCGGGCGACGGCAAGGAGGCCGAGCGGGTGGTGACGGACTCGACGGCGGCGTCGGAGTACGGCATCACGACGGTCGTGCCGGACATGCATACGCGCAAGCGCCTGATGGCGACTAAGGTGGGCGAGGGAGGGCCCGGATCGGGCTTCGTCTCGCTGGCCGGCGGATTCGGCACCATCGAGGAGGTGATGGAGATGACGACCTGGAATCAACTGGGCATTCACCAGATGCCAGTCGTGCTGCTCAACGTCAACGGGTACTGGGATGGGGTGCTGACCTGGGTCAAGAATGCCGTCCGCGAGGGCTACATTGGGGAGGCGAACGGCGATATCCTCGTCGAGGCGAAGAGCGTCGCTGAGGTGTGGCCGCGACTGACCGGGTACAAAGTCAGCAATGGTAGAATGCAACTGAACTGGTCCGATGAGTAAGAGGTTCGATTCTACAATGGCCTTTGTCCCTACATAGACGGTACCAAATAAAGCTAGACATCAAGAGACTCGACTTATTCATGACAATTGGTGGCATACTTAGTAGAGAACGAACTTACTTCAATACCGATAAAGACAGACTTGAAAACACACTCGCACACGGAGAAAGGTTCAAGATTCGTAAGCTACGGACATGCATCTAGTTGAAGTACTTTATGAGTCAACCTCCATCGTCGCCTCTCCTTCTTTCGTCTCGCTCGAATCCGACTGCTCCAGGGCCTCCAGAAGCGGTAACAGTTTTTGACCCTCGTACAGCTTGAAGCTTTCAATCTTTCCCTTAGCGCCCTCGCCCGCAAGACCAACCACGCCCACGGAGGTGTTGTCGACCGTCAGCTCCTTATCCTGGGACAGGGTCTCCTTGAGCGCCCGCAGGCCGTGAGTGATCAGTTCGTCGCGGGAGCTGCCGGAGATCTGGTCGAGGTTGCGCTCGAGGTACGTCCGAGCCATCTGGGAGCGGGCCCCGATGGCGCACGCCACCATCTCGTGGATCATGCCCGAGGGCTGGAACTCAAACAGATGAGGGCCGGCCTCGTCGACTCCGGCCACGAGCAGGCCAACGCCGTAGGGTCGCTTTCCGTACTGCTGGGTGTTTGTTTGGGCGCGGTCGGCAATCTGAGTGACGATGCGGTCCACGGGGATGGGCCGACCATAGGTCATTCGAGAGCCGAGAGACTGCTGTTTCATGTAGTTGGAAAGCACGCGGGCGTCGGAGGCCAGACCGGCGATCGCAATGCCCATATGAGAGTCGACTTCGATGATCTTCTTCTGGTATGAGGAGAGCTCTTCGGCGTTTCGCTGGAGGGGAAAGACGTCAGCTTTTCTTATTCTTGTCCTTAAGGGGCTACTAAGTCTTTTCTAATCCTGTCCCGGGTTGAAACACTTTTGTAGCCATCGACTATATGATTCTGATCAATTTACTCACCTTCAAGCCAACCAGGACCGAATGCGTCTTGTTGACCAATCCCACCACCACGGATCCCTGCTTCACGGCTTCTTGTGCATACTCGACTTGGAATATCCGACCCTGCGGAGAGCTGTCACCAAAACAAAAGCAGTTAGCTAGCTGGTCGTTGGGAAGCTTGGGGAGGGGAGACGCCGGAAGGAGCTAGAGATAGGATCATACAAGGTGACAGCATCGTTGTCGTAGTTGTTCCTGAACATGGCGAGCGAGAGATGACGAAACGGTAATCGATGATGAGCTGGACGGAGAATCAAAGAAGCGAATGGATGCGAATGACACGGGGTGGAGGATGGAGGGTGGAAGAGGTGCGACGGAGCTGGAGGTGAGCAGGCAGAGAGCGACTGACGTGCCTTCCTCTCGCCGTAATTACGTTACCGTACGCCTGAGCTGATGTCTTGGTGCCTTAATGCCTTAATGCCTTAATGCCTCGTTGCCGTGTGGCCCTGGCGCCTGAGGCTGACTGCGCTGCAAGTTCCCGCCAAACGTCACTCCCGTCGCCCATCGACTCCTCGTACAGGACCTACGTATGACTGACTGACTGACTGAACTTACCGACTTGCCCCCTTCCACCACTTCTTAATCCTCTATGCAGACGGGCTGCGTTCGCACTCGCCTCATCTCTGTTGCTGCTGCTGCTGCTGCTTGAACTTGATTCACCTGTGTCATCGCTTCTTCTGCTGCCTTTAGCTGTGAGCTTTTGCTGGACCTCGACGGTCCTTGAACTTCCGCAATCATGACGGCCGGACTCAAGACGATTATCGCGCTTTCATTTGTATGCATATTCTGTCCAGCAATCTCATCAACCCGGATCTTTGCTAATGTCTTGTCTATATGATTAGGTGCTTGCCATTGGTTTCCTCCTCGTCATCCTCTCGTCCGCCCTGTGGCACAACTTCCTGCCACTAATTGTCGTCGCAACTTACGTTGTCGCGCCCCTCCCCAACTGGATCTGCTCGCGATGTGCCAACCCGGATGATTTCATGGACACCTCTGGCAATGCGGCTGCGGATTTTGGCCGCTTCCTTACGGGCTTCCTGGTGTTGATGGGCATTGGTAAGTTCCCCAGACGGAGTTTCGCGAGGACACTGCCCGGGGCAGGCTTCGACAACGGCTGCATTGCACAAGGGTTGTGATCGCATACGCCCGATTCAGCTGCTCCTGGAGCTTTCGTCTTTCTCACTCAATCTTCCATCCGTTTTACCCCTGCTAACTCTCCCTTCTACGCAGCTCTGCCCGCCGTCTTGGCCCATAGCGGAGCTATCGAGGTCCCCGCGATGATCATGTCGATTCTTGGAGGACTTTTGATCTATGGCACTATCATTAGTTTCTCGATGTTTTTCCAGGAACAGGAGGAGTTCTAGGCCGCCATGGGAGGGAAGTCATCTCAGGAAGGCTGACTGTCCCCGTTTATCTCTTTTGCGGATTCTCTTTATCCGGTCTTTCCCCTTATCACTAGCACCTATATCTATATTATGCAACCATGATCCCTTTTACGAAACCGTCATTTGCTTTTATCTACCCTCGGAGTGAAGGGTACTCCCTATTCATTAAGCCTTTTTGATATCTTTTTTATGTTCTTGTCCGGCGATGCGATTGGATGTATTAGTAGCCACAGCAATGCGATAGAGAAATTCGGCCAGATGAGTTGCGAGTGTTCTGTAGGTCTTGTTGCCCCTCACACGTTCTCAGGGTATGACAAGAAGGCATCCACAAGGATGCCGGTGCCGTAAGCCAGCCGCGCATCGCATCACGTGACACCGCGCTGCCTTTTCCCCGGCGGCGCGTCATGGGAAGCGTTCCTTGCCCACGAACATTATACCAAGGAAGCGGCCTCTTGCCCTGCAACTATATAAATTCCTAGCCGGAAAATGTGAGCTGTGAGAAGACCAATGACCATATTACGATGAATGTCTGGTCTGGAGCTCTTGCGCTAGACAGCGAGTCCCAACTCCAAGGTAAGGGTTCTCAGGGTGTTGAGTGCTGATCTAAACTAACAACCCCAGGTCTACAGCTCATTGACCGGTCCTCCAGTTGGCAATCGGATCTATCCAGAGACTGCACGCTCGGGTTTCGATGCTTCGTGAACCCCGCGTTAATACCACTATATGCGAGAGTCGGTCCGAACTTGGAATTGCATACGACACACCTCCCAACGTTACAATGGCTGAAAGGAAAGCTGCTCGGTGGGGTCTGGCTAGACGAGGAGGATCTGGATAAATTCCAAACCATCCAGTGTCCTGTAGGGTTTCTAGTCAGTATCAGCAACTGTAAAACGTCGGCGTCGACCACGACGGATCTACTTGTTCACGGCGTCCTATCGAGCGCGACATCGTTCGGACGGCCTCCTACTCCGCCAACATCCTCCTCGCCAGGCTCCGGAGAGCTTGCTGGCCCAACGATCCGACAGGAGCTGCGGATCTACGCCACGCCGCTGTCCGCCTCTCTCATCTCCAAAGCGCAATGTCTCCCGTCTCCGGATCAGACAGGGGCGCTGGCTGGCGACGGGCGATCCGCGGAATTTCTACCGGACATCCGATCCCCAAGTCCCAAGCGCAAGCGAGTTGCAACACTCTTTGAAACGGTCGCGCAGCATCACCGGCGAGTACGACAGAAGGGTGGCGAGGCCGTGTCCCAATTGATGGCGCACTCGCTCTCTCAGTCCTCTCAACAACAAAAACAACGGCAGACCGGAACCCGGGGCGTTAAAGAAGAATCCGAGGAACCCAACTTGTTGGCCTTGGATCGCAACGCATCGCAGCGGTCACGATCTCTGTCGGTCGGGACGAATCTGCTCTCTGGCAAACCGTTGGAGTCGCGGGCGGAACCTCCGCGGCCCAGCAGTAACCGCAGCCACGCGCGTGAATTCGCCTTGCGGAGGAACACACCTATTCCGTTTGTCGAGTCCATCGTAAAGGGAAAGCGGGAGCCATCGCCGGCACTACTATCTTTTGAAGGGAAACAGGAGCCATTGTCGACTCCAAAGGATGTCGAGGGTATCATTATGGACAACAAGAATACCATCACACGTACGATTTTAACATGCATGCGGTTATATGGATACAACAGGACCACGTCCCGATCTGGAGGGTCAAGCAAACCCGCCACGGGGACCAACACCCCAGACGAGGATTCTCGTCTGACGATGGATGGCATTCCATTGTCCACGTCCGCCTCTGGTACGGACGAAGATGAGTTCAAGGCAATGTACCATGCTACCTACCGCGCCTCAACGTTTGCACTCCGAAAATACCTGAAGGAACCACCTGCCGACGGCGACCCATCGAAGGTATTGCCGCCGTTGCTGGACAAAGGCAAGGCGATGAACTATATTGATGAATTCCTGCGATTGTTCTGCGAGGAGAATTAAAAGTGCGGAGCACAACTGAATGAGACATGACTTGACGAAATTAGATAGATGACTAAGGAAAGTCCTGAGCTAGTGAATAATTATTGAATATACGCTGGTCTTCTGGGATAAAGGAAGTTGCCTGTAGAATTGAAATGACGCATTCCGAGCCGCGGCGGTATAGAATTTCCGGTTTCCGGGGGGCCGGCCGGCTGCTTCATCCATGAATGCTTGCTTGCTCCCCCGACTCCTACGAACGACCAACGCCATAGCACGTCTCCGATCTCCATCTCAACTTGCTCCCCTCACGCTTCTTCCAGAAATCTTCAAAGCACAATGGAGACGCCTAGCAACCGCCTGTTTCGCTGGTCCAAACCCGAGTGGCTCAACAACTCGACCGTTCGCAATGCGGGCGTCTATACTTCGGGTGCCATGGTAAGCTTATCAGCGCCCTCGAGTCATTCTCCAAGAGCAGCCTCCCGCTAACCGGACGATGTTTCCAGTTCGCTCTTGGTCTCTTCTTCCTCGTCGATGCCGCCGCCTTCTCTCACAGCTCCCTGAATGGCTCTTCCGTGCATGTGAAGTTCGTGGACTGGGTCCCAGGAATCTGCTCCGCCCTGGGCATGCTGGTGATCAATTCCATCGAGAAGTCGCGTCTGCAGGCCGACAGCTTCAGTTATAGTGGCAACGGGGTCGCCTGGAAGGCGCGCTTCGTGCTCTTCCTCGGTTTCGCGCTCTTGGCAGGAGGTCTCGCTGGCAGCGTGGTATGTTCCCACTTTACCCCCTCCTCCCTCCTTTCGCGTCAAGAGACTGCCCACGGTCTCCTGGGCGGAATAACAACTCTGGAGGTTGAGAGCTAACCCCTCGTTCTCCGCTCCGCAGACCGTCATGGTTCTCAAGTACCTCATCAAACAGTACCCGCTACAGACCCTCTACTTTGGCATTGCCAATGTTGTCGCCAACGGACTCATCATGCTGAGGTAAATACACCCCGTCCCCGTTCGCTCTTTCCTCTCAAGATCATCCGAAACTGACCCTGTTCGCTCTTGCCCCAGCTCCGTTGTTCTTTGGGTTTCCCAGAACATAGAAGACGACTTCACTTACAATCTTGCGTTGTGAGTGGGGGTGAATCTGCTTCCTCCGTTACGAAATTCCCTTATGACTGGCCCTTTGTATGGTCTTTTTGTCTTTATCAGGTTTGTTGTTGCTGGTAGTTTTGTTTGAATCTGGTAGGGCCTCTTGTTTGTCGGGCTACTCGAGTTTCGGATCTCAGCTATCGGTAAAATCTCTAGTCAATATCACACGAGCGTTTTGACTCATCCTAAGGGCAGATGTGTAGTAACTGTAGTCAATTTTGTGATGGACGGACTAGGCAAGACAGCAATCTACGTAGGAGCTCCGGGAGACACCGCGCAATGCAAATATTCAAGGATTTTTGTAAAATGCAAGCAACTTATATTCTTGTATCTTCATCTATTTCATGTGCTCCAAGTAAACGTGACCCAGCTGTATGTGGGCCATTGAAGCAAAACTCAGTCATATGCGTCGTCTAATCTTGAACGCGCCAACGTCAGGATGTCAAACGGGACAGCCTGCGCAGTGATTCCCCAGGGGGAGGCTGTCACTGCATATCGCAATCACAGCGTCCTCGCCGGTCATCTTAGGCCAACGCCTCTCCGATACCATCAGGGGGCCACATGTGATGTGGCCTGTGGCTGCAAAAAGCCAACATATCGGTATGTATCCTTCGATGAATTATTTCTCCCCCCCCGGACGGGATTATTTATTCTGGGCGGTCTGAGACACCGCGCCAAGGTATCAAAAACTCTCAACGAGCCCTCTGGTCAAGAAGATGATTCTTTTTTACGCGGACGCCTGAACCGGGTGAGCTCTCAGCTTGTCCATGATCGCATCCACGGCCTCCATATCCCCAGCGTCAACCTTTTCGCGAGGGTATCCCTCGGGGAAGTGCCTCACGGCCTCGTCCATGGCGGGTTGGTAATTGCGGACGGCGGAGGAGATGGCATAGACGGACTTCTTGCGGGTGGCGGGGTTAGGATCGGAGGTGGCATTCGAGATGAGGGTCGGCAGGGCGTTCAACAGAACAAGCTATAGAGAAAGAACGGTTAGATATGCACGATGACAAGAGATGTGGGAAGCCATACCTTATCCTGCGCCTTTTCGTTGTTCTGCACGGCCGTTCCGACGCACCATGCCGCCATGCGTCTCATATCGGCCTCCTCGTGCCGGAGCAATTCAACCAGCGGCGTCCACAAGCCCAGCGGCTCCATGTTGTTGGCATTGTCGATGTTCTCGAGCAGCTGCTCGAAATTGTCGAAGGCGATCATCTTGTTCTCCAGGTCGACCTCGTCCGAGCGCAGGGCTTCCATGGCGGCCTTCATCAAATCGGCATCGGAGGGACCGCCGAGTAGAGACGAGATCATCTCGGGAGTGATACCGCGAGAAGCGGCGTCGGCGACAGCGGTGCTGTTGTTGTTGGACGCATTGGAGGCATTAGGGTCGGAGGGGTTGGTGGAGTTCTGGATACTCCATTTCAGGAGACCGTTCATGTTGGCGTCCATGGTGATTAGGGGGGTTGTGCGGTGATTAATGCGTTTCAATAAAGTATGATGAAGCGAAACTGTATGGGATTGAGTTTAAAAAGCGTGAAAAGAACTGGTGGAGTGAGGGTCAAGAATGTCGTCGCGGTTCCCGACAAGAATATTAAATCGAGAGGGCAATTCTCAAAAGAGAAGGCGGAAGGGCGATTCTCGACGATTCATGCGGCTGCCAGCGCCTTCCACCACGTTCCACCTCACATACTACTAGGTATACTACCTTAGATATCTTGTAGTGGCGTCGTGCGACTTTGCATTGAGTCTGATAGCTTACGTTATTATTATGCTCGCAAGCAAGAACTCCTCTGTAAGAACAGGGTCAATAAAAAAAACCTCCCCTCCAGACCGACAATTCAGTGTGTACGAGTACGAGTGTTTCGATACAGCCGATTATGTAAGACCGCAATACCCCGCCATGCCGTCAACCCCGCCATGCTGTCACCTATGGCTGATTATTGGCAGATTGGCCTCGTAGGTGAGATCGACGAAGGGTCTCCGTTGCGAATTTTAAGATAGTGTGATTTGAGTAGGCCGCGCAGGAAGAAAATGCCGGTGTCAATTGGACTGCCCTACCGGGTCATTGGGTGCCCAAGAGGAAAGCGAGAGCCGTTGTTGTTGGCCTGGGATGGGACCTCATGGTGAAAAGGCGGTAAGCGTCACGCTTACCGTACGCAAGATTACCTACGCCGACATCCAGCCTGGTCTTCGGGGAACGAGCGGGAGCCTCTCTCTCATTCTCTCTCTCGTCTTACCTGAGCGACCTCCTTCTCTCAGATCAACTCAGTTCAGTCTAGGTCATGCATTCTCGGACATTCGCAATTCCTTGTCACCAGCCACAAACCGACATTACAGAAGGATGAAAGGAGTAGGGGGCCAGGGGAATCCGGGCGCCTGGATGATGGACCCTGTTTCTCTGGTTCGGTCCGGAGTTCAGCATTTCGCAGATAACCGTCCTGAGATCAGGATTTGCCCCACGAGGATGCGCAATTGCATTTGCCATCGTCATCCCAGACGCCTTGGACGAGATTCGAGAATCATTCTGCCTGAGAGGCAACCATGGCTGTGATCTCGCGCCTGGGAGGTTACTGTTGGAGGGAGGAATCACTACACTCACTGTTAGGCAGAGAGTCTTCATTAGTTATAAGACTCAGGATAGATGGCTTACTCCGTAGCTCTTAGGCATAGCATTAATGGACGCGTGGATAGAGGCATCTTTCACGGAGGGTTCTCTATACCAGAGGGTGGGTGGTTGCCTACTTGTGTATAAATATAGGATGGTGACTCTCCTCTCCTCTCTCCTCTGTAGGCCGACACCGACAGACAACTCCTTGATTCCAACCAAAAACCAATTGGCAAATACTAATAATTGCATTCTGAGAATCTACGTGGCGGTGACAGCAACCGGGCCCGCGGACCCGACCAGTGACCAAACCCAAAGAGGACGAACCAACTCCACCCGCCTTCTCCTTTTTCCCAGCGAGTCTCAAGAACCACGACGGAACTAAAGCAACTAGTCCTGGTCACGGCCCAGTCCAGCTCCCGCCCTCCACCCACTTAACTCTTACTGCCACTGCCCCTTCCACTGCCTCCTCCCTCCCTTTCTCCCCTTCTCTCTCGCTCCCTCTCTCTCTTCCCTCCCTTTCCCTTTCTTTTACCTCCAACCTCCATTCAATCCAACCACATCTCCCTTGTGATCCTCTTTCCTTCCTCCATCTTTCCCTCCTCCCATCTCCATTGAGACAACCTCTTCTCTCTTTTTTTTTTTTTTTTACTTTTCTTTCTCCGTAGTTCATTTTAATCCTATCACCGTCACCATGGAAGGTAAGGTTTCCTGCCACCTCAGCGCCTTGCATCTCGCTTGCTTCCCTTTCCCCTCCCCTCCCCTCCCCCTTCGTCCAGGTTACACCATCGCTAACGATCTTTTCTCGCTGTACAGAGGAAGTTGCCGCTCTCGTTATTGACAATGGGTATGTGTTGAGAAATCGTTGATGGTTTTACTCGTTTTTGATGATACTTGTCCTTGCTTGGGGGTGGTGTCCCGCCTCGGTCATCCGAGAAGGGAAAAACACACACAACTGCATCGGCCCCGGTCGCGATGATTCGATCGTCCGCTGTCCGCGTTGATGCCGTCTTTCCAGCTCCTCTGCGACCACAGAAAGCTAGGATGGCCCCCAAATGATCAGATTTCATCTTTTGGCACTATTTTTTTCAAAGAGATGCTGACGATTCCGGTGTAGTTCGGGTATGTGCAAAGCCGGTTTCGCCGGTGACGATGCTCCCCGAGCTGTCTTCCGTAAGTCAACCCTTCCATCACCCGTCAGCTTTTTTCCCCTGTGGAGTCCTTGGGATGGTAGCTTCTTGATCTCCGGAGAGCCTCATCTCCGGGGTGCAGCATCCCTCGGG